GTCTACATACACTTGGCCAATAAAGTATTCTATTCAATGTTAGAATAGAATACTTTATTGGCCAAGTGTGAGTAGACACACACAGTGAATTTGTTTCCGGCGCATAAGCTATCAGCGTACATGCAAAACAATAAAGTAATAATAATCGTAATAACAAGGCAATAATAATAATGATATCAATAAGAGAAGAAGGTGGAACAGATGAGAAGGATAAAAGTAATACAGCCATACCTCATAGGTAAATATACAAAACAAGATGTCATTTTTGTCATTTTTTTTCCTGCGGGCACAACGGCACACATTAAAAATGAAATTTAGTTGCTCGCTCTCAAAAGTGTACACATACATAACACACATTTAAAATATACTATATACAACATATGCATAGACCTACACCCTTACATATAAGTAACATAAATATTAATCACTGTCCATCATGAATACATAACGGAAGGAGGAAGCTTTAGAGTTCACAAGGTTAATACTGTACTTATACTTAAACCCAAGACAGAACTCAATCACAACAGAGCTAGAAGGGACCTTGGAGGTCTTCTAGTCTAACCCCCTGCTCAAGCAAGAGACCATATACCATTTCAGACAAGTGGTTGTCCAGTCTCTTCTTAAAAACCTCCAGGGATGAAACACCCACAACTTCTGAAGACAAAGCTGTTTCACTGGTTAATTGTCCTCACTGTTAGGAAGTTTCTCCTTAGTTCCAGGTTGTTTCTCCTTGATTAGTTTATAATAATAGAGTTGGAAGGGACCTTTGAGGTCTTCTAGTCCAACCCCCTGCTCAGGCAGGAAACCCCTACACCAGGGGTGCCAAACTCGCAACGTCACGTGACGTGTCACGATGTATCGTGACTTTTTCCCCATTGCCGGACCTTGGGGTGGGCGTGGTTTCGGCATGCATCCGGCTTGTAGGCCTGCAGTTTGACACCCCTGCCCAATACCATTTCAGACAAATGGCTGTCCAGTTTCTTAAAAACTTCCAGTGTTGGAGCATTCACAGCTTTTGGAGGCAGGTTGTTCCACTGGTTAATTGTTCTAACTGTCAGGAAGTTTCTCCTTAGTTCTAGGTTGCTTCTCTCCTTGATTAGTTTCCATCTGTTGCTTCTTGTCTTGCCTTCAGGCGCTTTGGAGAATAGCTTGACTCCCTCTTCTTTGTGGCAGCCCCTGAGATACTGGAACACTGCTATCGTGTCCCCCCTGGTCCTTCTCTTCATTAAACTAGACATACCCAATTCCAGCAACCGTTCCTTATATGTTTTAGTCTTCAGGCCTTTGATCATCTTAGTTGCTCTTCTTCACAAAGGCTTATCCTTGGCTGCCCATCTCTGACTTCATTGAGGTTAAACAGTATATGTTCTATTTTATCTTTAGCTATAATTCCAGCTTTTTGATGGCTGGTTTGGTTACTTGGGAATCAATTTCCAGTTGATCTTTGGAGTCCTACTGAAATCTCCCTTTTGCATAGTGAGCTGAGGATAGTACTCTGCATTATGTGCAGGTAGTTCTCAACTTACTACTCGTTTAGTGACCGTTCACATTTAACAGTGGCACTGAAAAATGTGATTCATGACCGCTTTTCACACTTAGAACCATTGTAGCATCCCTGTGGTCATGTGATTTGGACGTTGGGCCAGTGGCGTGTATTTATGATGGCTGCAGCGTCCCGGGGTCACGTGATCCCCTTTTGCAACCTTCTGACAAGCAAAATCAATGAGGAAGCCAGATTTGCTTTTAACATTCGTGTTACCAACATCTGCAGTGATTCACATAACAACGATGGTCAGAAAACAGGTCAGAAATGACGACTGTTGCTTAGCAATGACAACGTAGCAGGAAGGGACGTTTGAGGTCTTCTAGTCCAGCCTGCTGCTCATGCAGGAGATCTTATACCATTTCAGACAGGTGGTTATCCAGTCTCTTCTTAAAAACTTCCAGTGATGAAGCACCCACAACTTCTGACTGCAAGTTGTTCCACTGGTTAATTGTCCTCCCTGTTAGGAAGTTTCTCCTTAATTCCAGATTGTTTCTCTCCTCGATTAGCTTTCATCCATTGTTTCTGGTCCAGCCTTCAGATGCTTTGGAAAATAAGTTGACCACCTCCTCTTTGTGGCATCCTCTCAAATACTGGAATACCGCTATCATGTCACCCCTAGTCTTTCTTTTCTCTAGACTGTAGAAAAGTCTGTAGACCAGGGGTGTCAAACTGCCGGCCCGCAGGCCGGTTGCATCGTACGGAGGCCGCGCCCACCCCAGCTCCAGCAATGGGGAAAAAAGTCGCGATACGTCGCGACATGTCATGTGACGCGGTGAGTTTGACACCCGTGCTGTAGACAAATCCTACAATCATTCTTCATAAGTTTTAGTCTGCAGTCTCTTGAGTCACCTTAGTTTGCACTTTTTCCAAAATCGCAGCATCTTTAAAACTGGATGCAGTATTCCAGGTGTGGCCTTACTAAGGCTTTCTAAACGGTACTAATATTTTATGTGACGGCGGGAATCCGGTGTTCAGCAGAGTGATGGCATGAAGGAAAAAAACGTCCCTGTGTCTAGTTGTTTTGGCATGCAAGGCCCTTGTAGCGGGGTCCTGAGGGGAGGAGTTGAAACAGTTTTATGTCCAGGATGTGAGTGAGGGGTCTGTAGATATTTTCTCAGCCCTCTTTCGGGCTTGTGCAGTATATAGGTTCCTAATGGAAGGCAGGTTGGTAGCATTGTTTTTTTCTGCAGTCCTAACTATCCTTTGAAGTCTGCAGCTATCCTGTTTGGTTGCTGTACCACACAAGACAGTTATAGAAGTACAATATACAGAGGTAAAAAAAGTGTACAAAGCATAATCATTTCAAACCGTCCGAACAAAATGAATGAAAACTCAATACAAAAACATTCACGCAAAATGGATTTTTCCAACAGTAAAAATGAAACACTTTGGAACTGTCGCAAATATTGGGAGTGTGCATCAGCGAGCACACATGAAGAGTTGGCATTTTGTTGCTTCTACGCATTCTGATGGAAGTTGCCGCAAAGAGACTGCGACAGCCAGTGCCAAAGTTGCCTATTTGTCATTGTGATGATTGTTAGTGGAGCTCAGCGGTAACATTATTCCAGTTTGAAGCTAATCCTGGTGGAGAGAGGACAATAGCATCCAGTACCTCATCACTTCCTATCTCCTTCCTCCTCTTTCCTAACTGGAGGATGTGTGCCTTTGTGGATGACACAGCGGCTAAACTGGTTGAGCCCCCATTATCACTGCTGCATGGTGGGAAGACACTTGAGTCCCTGGGTGCGAGGTGTGGTACGGATGAAATGTCCTCCTTTTTCAAAGTTCAGTCCAAGGAATTTTGCTCTACGGCAGTGTTTCTCAACCTTGACAATTTTAAGGCATGTGGACTTCAACTCCCAGAATTCCACAGCCAGCAATGCTGGCTGTGGAATTCTGGGAATTGAAGTCCACATGCCTTAAAATTGTCAAGGGTGAGAAACACTGCTCTACGGGACTTGGAGTGACATCCTCAGGCTGAAATGATATAGTTTGTGTAAATGATCATCCAAGCAGACAGACGCATGTTTAGGACATAACCCCTGTAAACACGCCAATGTAAACAGCAAACAAATAAATAAAATTTATTTGGCTACTTCCTCCAAAGTTTTTCCAATTTCCCTCCATGAATGGGCTGTTAGCTCCTGGTTTTTGTAGCATTGATCCATTACATCATACAAAAGTTTACATCCCCTCTCTTCATCAGCAAGTCTCCCTTCCACAACCTCCATTTTGTTGTTTGAATGTGCCTTGCCTTCCGGCCCGCCTCACAACAGGAAATCGGATCAACCAATCAGCATGTAAGACAGGCATTCCCACATTACATGTACTTGAGACTTGGGAAGTGTGTGTGTTTGTGTGTGTCGGTCCATCTGCAACTATTTGCAACCTTCTGCTTACCCATCAAGCCCTTCGCAGCGCAGGTATGCCGTGACACCTACGGACAGTTGCAGACAAAGTCTAAATTAAGCGTGAAAAGGAAGCAAGGGGCAATGCAGCCAGGCTTTCAAGAATCTATCATTATAACTTAGATCAGTATTTCTCAATTGTGGTAACTTTAAGCGTGTGCTGGCTGGGGAATTCTGGGAGTTGAAGTCCACCCAGCTTTAAAGTTGCCAAGGTTGAGAAACACTGATTTAAATCAATAAAATAGGATTGCGGTATTTCTTCAGGCCTGTTACCTTAACCGAGTGCCTCAAAAGGCTGAGATGTTCTTTGTGCTTACTAGTAAGGAGGGATTTTAATATAATCATTGAGTCAAAAAGACAGGCTTTGGAAGGAAAAACCATTCAGAAGGAGATTAGAAACATCTAATCTCACTATTAACATTTCTTTCTCTTCCTCTATAGAAAGCCGACTAGCAACAGAGATTAAAGTGGAGAATTCTGAGAATCAAGGAAAGGAACCGGAGTCAACATGCAGGAGAGACCAACAGTTTAGTTCTGGGAATCTGCCAATAAAATTAGAAATGGAAGCAAAAGGTTACAAGTCAAGAGAGCAGCAGCAGAAGAAGCCCGTCCATACTTCGCTTCAACAGGAATTTACTACTGCTATTACTGAAAAGGCCACTATGTCCAAACAGAATAATGTGCCCTTATTCTCTCACTATGATAAAAGATACCACTATCAAGTGGAACTGAATGCAGTACCTTCTATGGAGAAATTGGAGCAATGTCCGCAAAGGTTTAAGGACAGCTACCAGCATACTTCAAATGTGAACCAAGAGGAGAATCACATCATAAGTGAACGAAGGGTTGAAATCTCTGAGAATGGAACAGGGAATAACTTGAACCATCTCGGAGAAACACCCAACAGTTCTCCTGAATATGGGAAAACCTTTACTAACACAAACTCACTAAGCAGGTTTCCGGTGTGCACTTCTGAAGAGGAATGGTACGAGTGTTCCCACTGTGGGAAGGGCTTCAACAAAGCAAAATACTGGAAGCAGCACCAGAAAATTCACACCGGGGAGAAGCCGTACAAATGTTCCCACTGTGGGAAATGCTTCAATCAGTCGGGAAATCTGAAGACCCACCAAAGGATTCACACTGGCGAGAGACCCTACAAATGTTCCCAGTGTGGGAAATGCTTCAGTCACACCAACTGTTTGAAGATGCACCAGAGGATTCACACTGGGGAGACCTACAAATGTACTCAGTGTGGGAAATGCTTCAGAGAGATGGGAATCCTGAAGAGGCATCTAAGGACTCACACTGGAGAACGACCATACACGTGTTCCCAGTGTGGAAAATGTTTCAGCCTGGCGGGAATCCTGAAGAGACATCAAAGAACCCACACTGGTGAAAGACCCTACAAATGTTCTCAGTGCGGGAAGGGCTTCAATCGATTGGGAACGTTGAAGAAACACCAGCGAATTCACACAGGAGAGAAGCCGTACAAATGTTCTCACTGCCAGAAATGCTTCAACGAGAGAGGAAATTTGAAGAGGCATCAGAGAATCCATGCTAGAGAGAACCTTAATATCATTCAAGAATTCATACTCGAAAATGACCATATCAATGTTATCAAAGTGGGGAAAGCTTCTACGGGGCAAGAATTTTGAAGAAACGTAAAAAAAATCTCACACTTGTGGAACACCTAACTGAAGTTCTCAAAAACCAATGTCTAGGAGAGGACTTGAAGAACCTCTAAAGATTTCCACTTCCTTATATTTGCAAGGAATACTCTTGGCAATACTCACGATGACTTGTTCCCTTACATTCCAGAGTGTTACGTAGGAGAACGAATGTAAGGAAGTAGATTCCAGATAAATGCCAAGGAACTTCAAACCATTAATCAGGAATAAGAAAGCTTGTGAGGTTGGACCAGTTACGCTGGACACCTTTCCCCCAAATGTGTTCAAACAGGGTCTGGGAAGATATTTCTCATGGATGTTTTGATAAGGATTCCTGTGGATAAGTGTGTTTAGACTGGATGATCTAAAAGCCCTGACACTTTGTTCTGTATTAAATGTCTATGGAGATTCTCAATCGTTCAGGTCATGGCTGTTCCAACGGTGCTTTTCCAAAAGGCAACAAGACTTTCTTGTTGTGTTTTGGGTTTTTTTGAAAACATTTCATTTCTGATCCAAGAAGCTTTTTCGGTTCTGAAAAAGCTGCTTGGATGAGAATCGAAGTTTTTTTTTAAAGAAAAAAAACAATCAAGTCCTGCTGCCTTTTGACAAAGCACCTTTGGTGACGTTCGATATTAAAGTTCTCAGTGAGGTAAAATCTTCAACCTGACAGCAATTCTGAAGAGGCATCAGACAACCTTTACTTAACAGATAGGATTCAAGTGTTCTCAGCCTGAGTACGCCCATATGGTGCAAAATTCATATAAGAGAATCTATAGTAGCTCACACATTAATGAAAAAAAAGTTTAAGAGAGAATGCTAATTAGAGAATCCACATAGGAACAGCACAACCCCTCAGGGCCTCTGGTTCGGGAATGATGGCGTGGAAGGGCGTTTCCAGTGAAAAGCATGCTGTAATGCTGAGTTAGAAAAAATAAACATGAAACGTATCCACACAGTTTTGATAAAAGCTACAGAGAAGTCCTGTGTTGTCCGGGCTTTTCCAAATGAAATTAAAAAGTTTTGTTCCTCCCAGCAATTGCTCTTTTGCTAGAGCTGTAAAACGGGGTCAAACATTTCATGCTGTCCGTCAAAACCTATGATGTGAGAGAGGATGCGTGAGACGGTGTGGGTTTTGTCATTTTGTGTTTCATTTTTCCTATGTTCCCATGAGTCGGTTTCGTGCTTGCTCTTGGATGAGAAAAACTCTTGTGACTTCTTGCGATTCCTTGTTATTTATTCACCTTGATGCTTTTGAAGGCCAAAGGGAGTGTTAAGCTAACAAAGAATTACATAAGCAATTTCCAGTAAGCCACATGGCCTCTCGTGACAACATATTATAGTACAGTGATGGCGAACCTTTTAGACACCGAGTGCCCAAAAACCGCCCCACCCCTGCCCCGCCCACCCCATCCTGTTCCCTGCCCCACCTACCCACAGTGTCACCTACCGCCTCCACGGCCCACCGCAGCAGATCGCCCAGGCAGCCCTGCAGCACCATGGTGGCCATGCCCTCCGCCTGCACCCCTTGGCTGTGCTGTTCTGCGTAGGCCGCGCCTGGGGGCGACTCTCCTCGGGGGGGCTGCTGATGAGGGGGCCACAGGGGAGGTGGGGCTGGGGTGACGGCACAGAGAGGACTCTGAGTGCCCACAGAGAGGACTCTGAGTGCCGCCTCTGGCACGCATGCCATAGGTTCACCACCACTGTTATAGTAGATTCCGGATCAGACTTTACAAAGCTTTCGCCGCCCTCGGACCCTGTGTAGGAACTGCCACCTGCATAGCCTCTAAATGGCAGAAAAATTGTGCTTTTCTAGAATTGTTGAACTGGAGGAATGCACGGTTCACGGGGAAACGATACTGATCTAATAACTTGTCTTGACAGTGAATACAGCTAGTCCTCAAGTTACAAGCGAAATTGAGCCTCGCAGTTCCAGTTGTGAAGTCGTGAGGGTCGTAAAGTGGAACCTAAATTTACCACCTCTGTTGCAGCAGTCATTAAGCCAATGCTGCAGGCATTAAGCAAACCCATTGTTTGCAATGAGCTGGTTTTTGCCAGACCTGGAAGCGAATGCCAGTTTCCAGCAAACCATTATTAACTGCAGTCACCTGATCATGGGGCACAGCAAACAGTGGTAAACTTGGGGCAATTGCCAAGCACACAATGTGGTCTTGCGACCACAGGGGTGGCAGCCATGGGAATTTCAAACCTGCTGGTGAGTAGCTTTTGGGGAACTGATCATAATTTTGGCTGCTAAACGATTGGTGCTAAGTGGAGAACTACCTGTAATTCTTTAAAAATGATTTGTACAGCTGCAGCCTCCTCCAGCTGAGGACAATGATGCTTTTTATTTGTTGCTTGGGGACTGGGCAGGTAAAAATCAATCGACATAACAAATATAATTTTTGCTCACTGACTGTAGAATTCTATTTTTCCATGATTACGTGGTGCACAACTGTTTCAAGATAGCATATGCAGACATGAGCACTTTGTTTGCCAAAACTTGTGTTCCTGTTAGAACATGTTCTCTTTTGTGTATCCAATGTGTCTGGAGCTTTTGGAATGAAGATAATTCACTGTACCGGTGACTTTGGTGTCTAGAATTGATCCTAATTATGATTGCTGACTGAATCTTCCCTATTGAAGTGTCCAAACATTTGTGCTTTTTGTAGAATTTGAATCCACCAATGCCCGTATTCCATGATTGTCCTTATATCTCTAATCCAGTGTTTCTTACCGTCAGCCATTTTAAGATATGTGGACTCCAACTCCCAGAATTCCTCAGCCAGCTGGGAGCTGAAGTCCACATATCTTAAAAGTTGCTATGGTCACGAAACACTCGGCTAACAGAATTTCTGCCTGGATTATTATAATACTTAAAATTCGCTGCAGCCAAACCGCACCTTGTGCCAAGTATGAGACTGCTATGTAAATGTTATTGTCATTTCTAGGTGGTCTTGATCTTATCAAAGTAGTTGCAGCTGCTGTCCTCTTGGCAAGATGTTGTGTGACTGTATGGTGTGGAGGGATTAAATCAAATGACAGAATTGCTATTCAGGTGAAGAGATTTATTTACCAGACAATAAATGAATTTATTTACACTGAGCTCATTCCACTTTTTATTTACATATCAAAAGCTTGCCTTTGTTAAATTGGGAGTAACCCATCAATTTTTTGTTTAAGCATCAGCTTTTTGAATGGTTGGGTTCACAGAGCATATTCCAGGGATGGGCAACTATGGCGACTTTACGACCTGTGGACTTCAACTCCCAGAATTCCTGAGCCAGCATGGCTCAGGATGAGCATGGCTGGCTGAGGAATTCTGGGAGTTGAAGTCCACAGGTCGTAAAATTGCCAGAGTTGCCCACCCTGGCATACTCAGCCAAGTTAGTCAAACACCCAGTGACTAACTACAGGTAGTCCTCGACTTACAACGGTCCATTTAGTGACTGTTCAAAGTTAAAACATCACTGGAAAAAGTGACTCCTGGCCGTTTTTCACACTCATGACCATTGAAGCGTCCCCATGGTTACCTGATACAAATTCAAATGCTTGGCAACTGACTCATGTTTATGACAGTTGCAGTATCCCAGGGGTCATGTGATCTCCTTTTGCAACCTCCTGATATGCAAAGTCAATGGGGGGGAAGCCAGATTCACTTAACAACCAGGTTACTAACTTAACAACCAAAGTGATTCACTTAACAACGGTGGCAAGAGAGGTCGCAAAATTGGGCAAAATCTGCTTAACAAACGTTTCACTTAGCAACAGAAATTTTGAGCTCAAATGTGGTCGTAAGTTGAAGACTGCCTGTGTATTTGCACAGCAAATATGGAATTAGTAAAATGAGTTACTTCAAATGTTGGTTAGATTTTTTTTTAATGAAATTTAAGTAATTTATGATTATGCTGTGGGCAAATCCAGGAGATTGACAACCAAGTGAGGCATCCTGGATAAACTAATGTTGGGGTTATTTCTGTTCCTTTTACTGATCCCTCGTTCCATTCCAAGCATCGCAAGACAAGATCTACTTGGCTAATTGTTGCCTGTCCAAACATTTTCACTGCCTCTTTCATGTGGGCTTCCCTGTTTGTTTCTAACATACAAGGGCTTCTTTTCCACTTTTCCAGGCCAAGCATGTCATCAGCCCATTAGAAATGGATCTAGGTCAGGGCTAGGCCACCTTGGCTCTTTTATGACTCATGGACTTCAACTCCCAGAATTCCTGAGCCAGCCATGCTGAGGGGAAAGGGAGAGGTTTCCAAGCTGAGCCAGGCTGGCTCAGGAATTCTGGGAGTTGAAGTCCATGAGTCATAAAAGAGTCAAGGTGGCCTACCCCTGATCTAAGTGAATCAGGAGAAACATCTGAACTGACCAAGAGAGGGAGACCATTTTTAATTGTCTTTGGGCAGGGTTCTTCAAACTTGGCCCTTTTATGACTTATGGACTTCAACTCCCAGAATTCCTCAGGAAGCGTGCTGGCTGAGGAATTCTGGGAGTTGAAGTCCACAAGTCATAAAAGAGCCAAGTTTGAAGAGCCCTGTCGTTGGGTCATCTCCCAGCCGGCAGCTCCTTTGAAGATGCGAAGGATTGTGTGTGACAGGCGACTTCACCCTCACTCCTTCACACCTGCTCAGAAAATCTCTCGCTAGTGGTTCTTCTCCTTTTCTGAGTGTTAGTTAGAAAAGGATCAGAAGTCTCAAGGTTTCCCCTGCACAGCCAGGCAATAAAAGCACAACACTCAGCAAAAGAAGAAAGCAGAACAATACATTATATGGGCAAGATGGTCTGTTGAGATAGCACAGGTGGTCCTCCATTTACAACAGTTCATTTAGTGACTGGGTGAAGTTACAACGGCACTGAAAACAGTGACTTATGACCATTTTTCACACTTATGACCGTTCCAGCATCCCCATGGTCACGTGATCAAGATTCAGACGCTAGGCAACTGACTCATATTTATGACGGTTGCAGCGTCCCAGGATCATGAGATCCCCTTTTGTGATCTTCTGACAAGCAAAGTCAAAAGGGGAAGCCAGAGTCACTTAACAACCGTGTTACTAACTTAACAGCTGCATTGATTCACTTAACAACTGTGGAAATTAAGATTATCCGAAGCCTAAACATTGGTTATAAAAGGCTAAATTGGAATATATAAACTGGAATTAAATAAAACCCCAAAACAGGACTTGGATATGTATAATTAAAATATTATTGATAAATGTACTGATTGATTGAGCTTTAGTTAGAAATTTATTAACATGAATATGATATAATATTTGTGGGAAATAGTGAGGGAACATTATTGATGTAACCTGAGCTATATATGAATGATTTTGTTACTGACTGATTACCCTATCACCACGCTGCTTCCTAAGTATCTGGATGTAAAAATTTGAAAAATTAATAAAACTTGTTTTTAAAAAAACAACTGTGGCAAGAAAGGTCGAAAAAGGGGGCAAAACTCACTTAACAAATGTGTCACTTAGCAACAGAAATTGTGGTCCTAAGTCAAGGACCACCTGTAAAACCAGCAAGAGAACACAGCTTGAGAAGTGTAAGCAGTTGACACAGCTGGTCAGTTTTAACCAATTGAATTAAACCCAGATTTTGCTTTAAAAAAATCACTAAATTCACTATTTGATTAGTATTTTCTTGTAAAGACAACATTTAGTTGTTCCCCAGTTGTTGCTAGAGAAACATCTCCGCTTCTCTGAGGCCTTGAAGGTGCCCTGGTGGTCATGGGTGGCACTTGCTTAATTGCTTTATTTATGGGATAAAAATAAAAATAAATACATCCAAAGGCATCTTTAGTTCTTCAAAACCTTTTCTGATCAGTTTCTTCAATGTCAACCACCCGGTTTCTTTTCCCCGTGCAAAGTTACAGAAAGTGCTGAATGCCAGAACATGGCTGGCTGGCCATCACAGCCAACGTACAGTAATGGCCAAAATTGTGGAAACCTTTTGGGAAAAGTGTATTTTTGAGGTTTGATGGCTAATAACACCACTTTTTGGGGGGAGTAGTACCATAAAATTATATATCAATGGAAAGATAATTTAATTAAGAATGTAATGCAACATAGCTTGTTCAATTATCTGTACTGTATTCTATGAAACGTTATAGCCAAATAACCAGAAAAAGGAAGCACAACTTGCTTAGGTTGATATCAGGTAGCTTTCCTTCATCTGATGGTAGCCAATGAGCATGAGTGTTTAGAGAGCCAATCAAGTGTCATCTTGTTTTGGCAATGAGCCAATCAGATCACAGTAGGATTCAGTTACTGATGTCATGTATTGAAGCTGACAGGAGGACATTTGTCAGTGTGTTATGTGATGGCTATCAAGTTGGTTGGGGGTTTTTTTGTGTTCTTTCATTTAGTGAGCTTGTAAAATGTAATAAAATTAAAGCAATGGTGCAAAAGAGTCCACTGGTTGCCCAGAAAGCGATGTAAAATAGCAGGAGAACCTATACCATCTCAGACAAGTGACTGTCCAGCCTCTTCTTTAAAAACCCCAGTGATGGAGTGCCCATGATTTCTGGAGGCAAAGCTGTTCCACTGGTTGATTGTCCTCACTGTTAGGAACTTTCTCCTTAATTCCAGGTTGCTGATCAGTTTCCAACCATTGTTTCTTGTCCTGCCCTCTGGTGCGTTGCAGAATAGTTTTGACGCCCTCTTCTTTGTGGCAGTCCCTCAAATACTGGAATACTGCTATCACGTCGCCCCCGTTTCTTCTTTTCTTTAGACTTCTTCTTCTTCTTGTGCCATATCCGTTATCGGACGTTGGCGATCATGTTGGCAATCCTGTTTTTATCAGCAGCCGCACGAAAAAGTGCTGCTGAGTTTTGTCCAAGCCAATCCCTTAGATTTTGAAGCCACGGTGTTCTTCTTCTGCCTGGACCTCGTTTGCCTTCCATCTTTCCCTGGAGGATTAAATGGAGTATGCCGTATTTTTCTGGGTGTCGCATCATGTGTCCGAAATATTCTAATTTTCGTTTTTTAATTGTTTTGATGATTTCCCTTGGCTTTCCCAGGCGGCTTATCACCTCCTCATTTCTGATCTTGTCAACCCAGCTTATACGTAACAGCCGCCTGTAAATCCACATTTCAAATGCTTCTAGTCTCTTCAGGTGGCCTTCTGTCAGAGACCAACTCTCTACTCCATGGAGCAGGACAGGAAAAATATAGCATCTTGACAAGCCTGATTTTCCGTCTTAGGCTTATGTCGTGACTGCAGAAGACCTTTTTCATTTTGAAGAATGCTGTTCGAGCTTTCTCTATCCTTGTCTTTACTTCAGTGGTCATGTCCCAGCTTTCATGTAAATTGGAACTGAGGTGTGTGATCCTTTCAACTTTTTCTAGTGATATTCCTTCTGAATTTATTGGTGGTAAATTAACAGGTTCTTTAGACTAGCACTAGCCAAACCCAAGTCCTGCAGCCTTTCTTCATATGTTTTAGGCTCCAGGCCTTGGATTAGTTGCTCTTCTCGGAACTTTTTCCAAAATCTCAACATCTTTTTTGTAGTACGGTGACCAAAATTGGTTGTAGTATTCCTGCTTGAGCAGGTGGATAGACTAGAAGACCGCCAACCTAGAACTAAGGAGAAACTTCCTGACAGTTAGAACAATTAACCAGTGGAACAACCTGCCTCCAGAAGCGGTGAATGCTCCAACACTGGAAATTTTTAAGAAGAGACTGGACTGCCATTTGTCCAAAATGGTATAGGGTTTCCTGCCTGAGCAGGGGGTTGGACTAGATGACCTCCAAGGTCCCTTCCAACTTTATTATTATTATTATTATTATTATTATTATTATTATTATTGAAGCAGTAGGCGTGAACTTAAATGGACTCCAGAAGATGGTAGAGGACAGGAAGACCTGGAAGAACGTTGTCCATGGGGTCGCGATGGGTCGGACACGACTTCGCAATTAACAACAAAATTATTATTATTATTATTATTATTATTATTATTATTATTATTATTATTATTATTATTATTATTATTATTACTATGTCCCAGCTCTCTTACTCTGTTATTCTTAACCACGCAACCTCCGAGAAGTCACCCAGCTCTGAGCTTAATCCCTTTTTTTTTAAATTTTGGGGTGTCTGAAAGGCGGTGTCCGAGAGGGGGCGCCCGCGGGCGCTCTTCCGCCCGGTCAGCGGCGGCGCGCAAAGAGAAGGGAGGGCGGGGACTGGCGTGAGGGGGTGATGGGGGAAAGCAAAGCTGCTGCCTGGACCGGGTGCAGGGGGCGTCCGGGGGTCTCGCGTCGGTCCGACGGAGGCGGCAGGAAGGCGGTCGTCTTTGCGGTACGGGCTCCTCTAACCTCCGCTGCTGCTGCTGCTGCTGCTGCTGCAGCAGGGCCGCCTCCGTCTTGCAATTGAGCCGCGGGCACAGCGTTGCACGGGGAGGCCTCCCCCTCCGTTTTGGGGAGCCCGCAGGTCCTTCGCTCCGTCTCTCCAAGCAAAGAGGGGTCTGGGCTACATGCATTGCTTATGTGCGTTGTGTTGCGTTGCGTTACGTTGCGTTGCATTGCATTGCATTGCATTGCATTGCATTGCATTGCATTGCATTGCATTTTCAACCGAGCATGCAGTTCGGGGGTCTCGGCGGGGCGCGGGGGAGGATGGGGAGACCTCCACCCTCCTCCGTCCTCGCTTTCCCGGGCTGGCCCAATGCTACGGGAAGGTGGCAGCAAGCGCGGTGGTTTCCCGTCCCCCCCCCGGCTAGAAGCAAAGCCCCTCGCCTCTTTGATTTTTTTGGGGAGACAAAGGGATCGGATTGGTTTTGGGGTACCCTTCCCGGAGTGGGGCAAAAAAGGGAAGAAATTTAAGTATGAGCAATGACTTCAGAGGTTTCTGTCGTGGAGTGGGGAGGATGAGAAACCCCAAACGTGTTGAAGGATTTTGCCTTTTAAAGTGCTGGATGTTTAAAGTGCTTTTTATTCCGAGGGGAATATGCCAGGAAGCTTTGAAAAGCTGCATCTATTCCTGTGGAGGGGGAAAATTCCATTTATTGCATTTAAATCGGGTCCCCCGTTTTTAGCTAGGTCCTTAACTGTCGTTTTAGTGTTTGGGATTATTTATGTGTATGCATAAAATCTCCCAATTATGGGTTGGAGGAATTGGATGCTGCTCAGGATCAATTTGGGGCAGCCTGCAAACCCAAATTGATTTAAATTTATTAGCTGCCCAACTTGACTGGGTTTTGGCAGTGTACAAAACTAGAGAAAAATATAGAAGCAGCTAAAAATATTAAACCGAACAGCCCTGACTAATCTAACAGCAAAATCAACAAAATAAAACAGGGCATATTAAACAAATAATAAACATTAACCCCCAGGCTTGGAAACAAAGGTTTTTAAAGAGATGGTGCTGTTACAGAGAATGAATAAAATTCAGAAATGAATGAAATGGGTAAATAGAAGCCAGAAAATCATTTCTGATTGAATGTACATCTTAACAGTGTTTTTTATCCCCTTCCTGCCCCAAGAATGTTTTAGATTATTTCGGAGGATATTCTATCCACAGCTGATTTACAGATGTGATGATAGCTTCTGGCTGAAATCTGGTTTGGTATTTTTTTAATCAAGGAGAACTGAGTTACTTTCCTTTGAGGTGGAAAGAGGGCTTTGTAGTCCTTGACTTATGACTGTAATGGAACCTGCTCATCACGGTCCTAAGTCGTGGCAGTCATAAAATGGGTCAGTCAACATGACCAACCTGATTTCACGACCTTTTTTGCAGTGGTCATTAACCGAGCCTGGCAGTCGTAAAGTGACCATCAAGGTCGTTAAGCAAAGGGCATGGTTGTTAAGTGACTCAGTGGTACGCTAATAGGTGCGGTTTTCAGCAAAACTGTCGTATGACACAGTCACATGACCTCAGGACCCTGCAAATATCCATTAAGTGCAGTTTGTGGTGAATGCCGAGGTGGGCGACTGTCATAACTTTGAATCACGGTCATAAGTAGCCCCAGGGTAGATCTGTCGTAACTGGACAGCCATTTGTCTGAAATGGTGTAGGGTTCCTGCCTGAGCAGGGGGTTGGACTCGATGACCTCCAAGGTCCCGTCCAACTTTATTATTATTATTATTACTACTTGGACAGGAAACCGAACCCGCTTTTTTAAAATACTTTTTTTTCTAAGGTTAGTGGGGGGTCTCTAAAACATGGCAGGGGGTGAAAATGATAACCAAATGATCCACTTTGAACATGCTCTGCTTCTAGATTTCGGAGGGCTGACGGCAGATAACTTGGCCATGGAGAAAAAAGCCTTCAATCCAGAACAAGGACCGGAAGCCGCTGGAAAACTCCCTTCTGCAATTCGGCCTCCGTTTACGTCTGAACAAGCAGGATGGGGCGCCTTTGAGAGGAGCGAGAGGGCCCCCTTCGTGGGGATGGAGGAGCGCTGGGAGACGCAGTGGCAGCAGTTCCTCAAGACGCTGCAACCGGTTCGCCCAGAAGACGACGGCAAGTCCCAGTTGTCGGAGGCCTCTCCCTGGGAAGACCCCAAGGTCTTCCTGGCCTCCTTCGAGCAGGTGGCCCAAGCCTGCCGGTGGCCCAGAGAGCAGTGGGCGGCCTGCCTCCTGCCGGCCCTGAGCGGAGAAGCCGAAGAGGCCTTTCAGAGGCTGGAAATGGGAGAACGGGACAACTACGGGAAGGTGAAGGCCGCCATTTTGAAAGGGGAAGCCGTGAAAATGGAGGCCCGGCGTCAGCGCTTCAGGCAGTTCTGCTGCCAGGAGGTGGGAGACCCACGAAGGGTTCAAAGCCAACTTCAGGAGCTTTGCTGCCAATGGCTGAAGCCGCAGAGACGCTCCAAAGAGCAGATTTTGGAGCTCTTGATCCTGGAGCAGTTCCTGGCTAGCCTGCCTCCCAAACTCCAGAGCTGGGTTCAAGGTAGAAGACCTGAGACGTGTTCCCAAGCGGTGGCCCTGGTGGAAGACTTCCTGGGGAACCAACAAGAGGCCAAATCAGGGTCACATCAGGTACGTTTGACCATATACAGGTGGTCCTCGACCCTATTAGAGCCCAACATTTCTGTTGCTAAGTGAGACGGTTGCTAAGTGAGTTTTGCCCCGTTTTATGGCCTTTCTGGCTACAATTGTTAAGTGAATCACTGCAGTTGTTGGTAACACAGTTGTGAAGTGAATCTGGCTTCCCCATTGACTTTGCTTGTCAGAAGGTCGCAAAAGCGGATCGTATGACCCAAGGACACTGCAACAGTCATAAATATGAACCAGTTGCCAAGCATCCAAGCCATGGGAATGCTGCAATGGTCGTGTAAGGACCAGTTATAAATCACTTTTTTCAGTGACATAACTTGGTTGACTAAATGAAGTCGAGGGCTACCTATATATCATATCATTGGGTAGAGCAGGAGTGTCAAACTCAATTTCACTGAGGGCTGCATCAGCATTGCAGTTGTCCTGGGGGGGGCGGGTGTGTGGCCAGGGTGGGTGTGGCCTACTGGGTGGGTGTGGATGGAGTGGGTGTGGCCTATTGGGTGGGCATGGCCAGCTCTACATCGTTCGATTCAAGGGTGCCTGTGGGGGCCTGGGCAGGAGTGGGACAGATCTGGGGGTCTCTGGCAGAAGGGAGTGGGACCGGGGCAAGTGCCAAGGCATGGTCCACTGGAGGAGCCTCACTGCCTGCTGAAACCCCTCCGCCGGAGTCCATCAAGCCGGATATTTGAAGTAAGCGAGGGCCATTTGCTGGCCACTTCCAGGCGATGGTCCATTTCTTCATTCCTCACAAAGGGTGACACCTCCCCAGCATGCCCCCAGGGGACGGGGACGATGCAGCAGGGGCTGGTTCCTCGCTGTTTCCAGACGGCCTTGTGGAGCTAAGACTAAATGCATTTCAGCATAGATGGCCACCACAAAATTGTACATTGGCTCCCGGCCGACCTGGGCTAGGGCCAAGGCAGCGGGGGCTGTTCCCTCACTGTTTCCAGGATGGCTTCGCGGGCCACATGAAACCACTTCGCGGGCCGCATCCGGCTCTCGGGCCTTGTGTTTGACATGTCTGGGGTAGAGGAACAATTTGTAAATTCCTTGTCATTTTTTTTTATGGAGTTCATATTCAAGTGCATAAAATGGAATAATTGGGTCAAACATTTCACAAAGCACTGGGATAGAGGGACACGAAGAATACAGATAACCATTCATTTAGTGACAGTTCAGAGTTACAGTAGCACTGAAAAAAGTGACTTACGACTGTGTTTCACAGTAACGACATTGCAGCATCCCCATAGCCACACAATCAAAATTGGGACAGCTTGGCAACTGACGTGTATTTATGACAATTGCATTGGCCTGGGGTCATGTGATCGCCATCTGTCCCCGGCTGGCTTCTGACAAGCCAAGTCAATGGAGGAAGCTAGATTCGCTTAATGACAAAATGACTCGCTTAATGACAGTAATTCGCTTAACAGCAGTGGCGAGAAAGTTCGTAAAATGGAGCAAAACTCACTCAACAACTGTCTTTCTTAGCAACAGAAATTGGGGGCTCAATTGTGGTCGTAAGCCGAGGACCACTTGTCCTAACAAAATGAAATTCAATGGTGAAAAAAGTAAGGTTCTACATTTAGGCAAGAAAAACCAAATGTACAGGTATAGTATAGGGGGTACCTTGCTCAATAGTAGTAACTGAGAGGGACCTCGGAGTCCTAGTGGACAATCACTTAAATATGAGCCAGCCGTGTGCTGCAGTTGCCAAAACAGCCAACACAGTGCTAGGCTGCATTAACAGAAGGATAGAATAGACATCACGTGAAGTATTAATACCACTTTACAATGCCTTGGTAAGGCCACACTTGGAATACTGCATCCAGTTTTGGTCACCACGATGTAAAAAAGATGTTGAGACTCTAGAAAGAGTACAGAGAAGAGCAGTAAAGATGATTAGGGGACTGGAGGCTAAAACATATAAGGAACGGTTGCTGGAATTGGGTATGTCTAGTTTAACAAAGAGAAGGACGAGGGGGGACACGATAGCAGTGTTCCAGTATCTCAGGGGCTGCCCCAAAGAAGAGGGAGTCAAGCTATTCTCCAAAGCGCCTGAAGGCAGGACAAGAAGCAACGGATGGAAACTATTCAAGGAGAGAAGCAACCTAGAATTAAGGAGAAACGTCCTGACGGTTAGAACAATTAACCAGTGGAACAACCTGCCTCCAGAAGCGGTGAATCCTCCAACACTGGAAGTTTTTAAGAAGAGACTGGACAGCCATTTGTCTGAAATGGTATATGTTCTCCTGCCTGAGCAGGGGGTTGGACTCAATGATCTCCAAGGTCCCTTCCAACTTTTTATTTTTATTTTTATTTTTTTATTATTATTATTATTATTATTATTATTATTATTATTATTATTATTATTATTATTATTATTATTATTATTACTACTACTACTACTACTACTACTACTACTACTACTACTACTACTACTACTATTCCAAAACTGTAAGGACCAGGTTAATATTGTAGCTTGATTGACCTCTGACAACCCTCGTAGGCGTTGGGAGGGGGGACCACTGAGAGCTTTTGTGGGGGGGTGAGCAAAGGAGTCCCTTTGTTGTGAGAAGGAGTGTGTTACTCTTTCAGGGCTCAATGAATGAAGAACATGTCGATTTCTTATATTCAGAGAAAGAGACCTTGGAGGCCGTGAAGAGAGAAAATGAAGAAATGGAAATCAGGGTGCCAGGTAAGAAGACCCTGGAGGGAGAAAAATGGAGCTGCTCTTTTATACTTGGGACGCTGAGGCCAGGGAGCCAAAATCTAGAGCTCAATGTTGTTGCCTTGATTGGTTTTCTGGAGGCCTTTTAAGGTATTTCTATTCCAGATTCTAGTGAGATTTTAAAAAAGCAAACATAAAGGCCCTGACGGTGCAATAAAGATTTATAAACAACAGCGCCAAATAAATACACTAAAAGTTTACGCTAAAATACACCGAAAGTTTAACAAAGAGAAGAGCCTTATAGTATTAACATAACATTAACATTAATTCTGTTCTTTAAGGTTCAGGTAGACTTTGCTTACTGGCTGCTGGTTCAGCAACCATTCACAGTTAACGACATGCTGAAAAAAAGGAGTTTTTATGACCAATGCTCGAACTTGCAGTTGTTGAAGTATCCCCTGGTGCAGGGGTAGGCCACCTTGGCTCTTTTATGACTCGTGGACTTCAACTCCCAGAATTCCTGAGCCAGCATGGCTCAGCTTGGAAACCTCTCCCTTTCCCCTCAGCATGGCTGGCTCAGGAATTCTGGGAGTTGAAGTCCACGGGTCATAAAAGAGCCAAGGTTGCCTATCCCTGCCCTGGGGTCACGTGATCACAATTCAGGCACTTGTCAGTTGGCTCACGCTTATAATGGTGCATATCCTGTGGTCATATGATCACCAATTGCAGGCTTGATTGCAGGTTTCCAGCGAGCAAAATCAGTGGGGAAGCCAACGAGAAGTCATAAGTCATGGTCATGTGATGTTGTACTTAACAACCTCGGGTGATTTGCTTAATGACTGCAGTTGGAATGGACATTGTACGTTGGACATGGTCGTGTCAGGTTTCCCTTTAGGATGAGAACGCTTAGGAATGGAATTGCAGTCAAGTGAGGACTACCTGTATTGGTAATATTGGCAAAGTCAGAAGTACTGGTTTTAGATTGCCCACAGTCATAATTGTTTGATTTGCAGCCCCATACATTCCTTAAATACATAAATATAAAATCTAGATCCGTGGTGGCGAACCTATGGCATGCATGCCATAGGTGGCACGCAGAGCCTTCTCTGTGGGCTTGCGCATTGTCGCCCCAGTCCTAGACCCTCAACTGGGTTTTATAAAACCTTTTCGCTTTAGGCCTCCGCCGCCGTGTGAAAAAAAAAAAAGGTTCAATCAATCGAATCAATTTCAACTTCTTGTGGGGAAAAAAAAAGATCTTGCAAAGTTGGAATTGATTGATTGAACTTTTTAGTCCCACCCAGTCTGCTGTTATCACTGAAGCCACTCCCACCCAGTGGGCCACGCCCACCTGGCACCCGACGATACATAAGTGGGTTTGGGGTTGCAGTTTGGGCACTCGATCTCTAAAAGGTTCGCCATCACTGGTCTGGGGAATTCTGGGAGTTGGAGTCCACACGGCTTTAAAGTTGCCCAGGTTGAGAAAAACTGATTTAAATCAATAAAATAGGATTGCGGTATTTCTTCGGGTCTGTTACCTTAACCGGGTCTGCCTCAAAAGGCTGAGATTTGTTTTGTGCTTACTAGTAAGGAGGGCTTTTAATATAATCATTGAGTCAAAAAGACAGGCATTGGAAGGAAAAACCATTCAGAAGGAGATTAGAAACACCTTGGAGGCAAATAATCTCACGTTTCTTTCTCTTCCTGTGTAGAGAGCCAACTGGGAACAGAGATCAAAGTGGAGAATTCTGAGAATCGAGGAGAGGAACCGGAGTCAACATGCAGGAGAGATCAACAGTTTAATTCTGGGAATCTGCCAGTAAAAGTAGAAATGGAGGAAGACGGTTACAAGTCAAGAGAGCAGCAGCAGCAGAAGCCTGCCCTGGGGTGTGAGGACCAACGTACCTCACTACAACAGGAATTTACTACTGCTATTATTGAAAAGGCCACTATTTCCAAGGAGAATAACAGGCCTTTGTTTTCCCAGTACGATAGAGGATACCTCTACCACATGGAGCTGAATGCAGTGCCTTCGACGGAGAAATTGGAGCAACGTCCTCAGAGATTTGAGGACAGCTACCAGCATACAAGCACGAATGAAAAAGAGGAAAACATGGTAGTTGAGGAAAAGTTTGAAATCACTGGGAATGCAGGGGTTAATAACGCGAAGACATATCCAAGTAACCGCCTTGGAGAAACACGCAACTCTCCCGAACGTGCCAAAACCAACAGCAGTGTGAACTCGCTCAGCAAAATCCCCGCTTGCAAAACCGAAGAAGGCTGGTACGAGTGTTCCCACTGCGGCAAATGCTTCAATAAAGCAAAATACTGGAAGCAGCACCAGAAAATTCACACCGGGGAGAAGCCCTACAAATGTTCCCACTGTGGGAAATGCTTCAATCAGTCGGGAAATCTGAAGACCCACCAAAGGATTCACACCGGGGAGAGACCCTACAAATGCTCCCAGTGTGAGAAGTGCTTCAGTCACACCAACTGCTTGAAGATACACGAGAGAATTCACACTGGGGAGACCTACAAATGTTCTCAGTGTGGGAAATGCTTCAGAGAGACGGGCATTTTGAAGAGGCATCTCCGGATCCACACCGGGGAGACCCCGTACAAATGTTCGCAGTGCGGGAAAGGCTTCAACCTGATGGGAACGTTGAGGAAACACCAGCGAATCCACACCGGAGAGAAGCCGTACAAATGTTCCCATTGTGACAAATGCTTCCGGGAGACAGGGATTCTGAAGAGACATCAACGAACTCATACCGGAGAGAGACCGTACAAATGTTCCCAGTGTGGGAAATGCTTTACTCATACTAATGTTTTGAAGATACACCAGAGAATTCATACTGGGGAGACACCATATAAATGTACCCAGTGTGGGAAAAGCTTCAGTCAGATGGGGAATTTAAAAACTCACCAGAGAATTCATGCTAGAGACGGCCTTAATACGGTACCGGATGTCCTATTAGTGAAGGACCATACAAACGTTCCCAGTGTGGGGAAGATGTCTGGGAAGCAAGAATTTTGAGGAAAGGTCAGACGTGAGGTATACAGTAGCTAGTCCTCAGCTGACCGCAATTGAGTCCAAAATTTCTATTGCTAAGTGAGACATTTGTTAAGTGAATTTTGCCTCCATTTAACGAATATTCTTGCCCCAGTTGTTAACGTGAATCCCTGCAGTCGTTAAACTAGTAACCCAGTTGTTCAGTGAATCTGGCTTTCTCATCGACTTTGCTTGTCGGAAGCTCACAAAAGAGGATCACGTGATCCTGGGGACATTGCAACCGTCATAATGTGAATCAGTTGTCAATCATCTGAATTTTGATCACATGGCCATGTAGTGGTTGTAAGTGAAAATAAAACGGTTATAAGTCACTTTTTTTTGGTGCCGTTTACTTTGAACGGTCACTGAACTGTTGTAAGTCGAGGACTACCTGTGCTTACTTCATGAATCCATCAAGGAGGTGACTTCAAGAAGGACTGGACTCATAATCACAGAAGCCCTAGAAGGGTGTTTTTAGTTTGGGAAATAGTTCCAGGGTTTCATTCAGAAAGATGCAGTGATGGGCATTGAAATATGTGTCAGTGAAAGGATGTCTCCCTTGAGGGTCACCCTTCACGCTGGCAGGAAACATGGCGTTGCTGGGCCTGGAGCTGTATAAAAGGCCTTTAAAGGCAGTCCGTTCCCAAGTGGGTTCTCTGTCTGTACCATCATACTTAATAAAGTCACTGCTTCAACACTCCTTTAGAGGTAGTCCTTGACTTACGACTACGGTTAAGCCCAAAATTTCCTTTGCTAAGTATGGCAGTTGTGAAGTGAGTTTTGCCCCATTTTACGACCTTTCTTACCAAAGTTATTAAGCAAATCTCTGCGGTTGCTAAGTGAGTCAGTCAATCAGAATAGAGCTGGAAGAGACCTTGGAGGTCTTCTAGTCCAACCCCCCACTCAAGCAGGAGACCCTATACCAGGGGTAGGCAACCTTGGCTACTCGTGGACTTCAACTCCCAGAATTCCTGAACCAGCCATGCTGAGGGGAAAGGGAGAGGTTTCCAAGCTGAGCCATGCTGGCTCAGGAATTCTGGGAGTTGAAGTCCACGAGTCATAAAAGAGCCAAGGTTGCCTACCCCTGCCCTATACCATTCCAGACAAGTGACCATCCCGTCTCTTCCTAAAAGCCTCCAGTGATGAAGCACCCACAACTTCTGGTGGCAAGCTGTTCCACTGGTTAATTGTCCTCCCTGTTAGGAAGTTTCTCCTTAATTCCAGGTTGCTTCGCTCCTTGATTAGTTTCCATTCATTGTTTCTTGTCCTGCCCTCTGGTGCTTTGGAGAATAATAATAATATTCTTTATGGCAGCCCCTCAAATACTGGAATACTGCTATCATGTCACCCCTAGTCCTTCTCTCTATACTAGCCAAACCCTAATTTAATCTAACCCAGTTTAACCTAACCTAACCCAATCTAATCTAACCCAATCCAATCTACTCTGGAAGTGGTTAACCGAACCCGGCTTCCCCCATTGACTTTGCTTGTCAGAAACAGCTGGGAAGGTTACAAATGGTGATCACATGATCCCAGGACAGTGCGACTGTCCTAAATATATGCCAGTTGCCAAGCACCCAAATTTTGATCATGTGACCATGGAAATACTGCAACGGTCGTATCGGTAGGTGTGAAAAACCAGTCATAAGTCACTTTTTTCAGTGCTGTTGTAACTTCGAGTGGTTACTAAACAAATGGATGCAAGTTGAGATTTCCTGTATGATGTTTGTACCAGGCATTATGAGAGACAAAACCAAACAAAGAGAATTAAACAACTCAGGGGTAGGCAACCTTGGCTCTTTTATGACTCGTGGACTTCAACTCCCAGAATTCCTGAGCCAGCATGGCTCAGCTTGGAAACTTGTCCCTTTCCCCTCAGCATGGCTGGCTCAGGAATTCTGGGAGTTGAAGTCCACGAGTCATAAAAGAGCCAAGGTTGCCTACCCTTGACCAAGATGGTGTTTACTTCCTTTTTTCCAGCAAAAAAAAAAAAAGCCCCATAGGGAACAAACGATTAAGAGGTTGTAAAACTCGGTTGGGTAATCTGGTGATCTGATTTACGACCCTTATAATTTATGACCGTATTTGCCACGCTCAGGTACGGTTGGACCTCGAGTGCTGCCAGTAGGCCTTTTAACTAAAAAAAAAGTAATTTCAAACATTTTTATGACAATGACATATTTTATAAACGATTCTTATTTTCCATTTTGTCAAGGACCATTATCCCAAGTCACAAAAACACATCTGTGGTAAAAGAAAAGTATGTTGAAAAATGAAATCAGATCTATCTCATTCAGTTGGGCAGGATTTTATTTAGCTAGTTTTTGAGTGGCACTATTAATACAATTTGAGGGCAATATTGAGGGCAATAGAAGAAGGGGACGACAGAGAATGAGGTGGCTGGATGGAGTCCCTGAAGCAGTAGGCGTGAGCTTAAACGGACTCCAGAAGATGGTAGAGGACAGGAAGGCCTGGAGGAACGTTGTCCATGGAATCGCGATGGGTCGGACACGACTTCACAACTAACAACAACAATATACAACAGAGCACACGTCCCTCTGATTGCATAGACCTGCATCACGCTTGTTGGAACAAATGCCACTTTTATGTTTCCAGATACTGTATTGTGTTTTTATTTGTAAACTGCCCAGAGATATGCAGGTGAGATGGGCAGTATAGAAATTTCATAAATAAATAAAAAAAATTTTTTTTGTAGAATTGCCTTATTTAATTTTTGTTAATTTTTGGGGAAATCTATCACCGCTACTGTTCTATCATACATGCAGTACCTGCGTAAGTACGTGCGTTATATTCAAGTATAATGCGTCATGACTTTTTCCTCACTTTGTTCCCAAATGTCAGAATTGCTTTTCCTATCAGTTTATGCAATACCTTGTTTGTGAGGTCGTATGAGGCCACAATTGCATAAATAAAATTGGCAATCATCACAAGAGGTTTCATTTAAAAAAACAAGCTCAACTATTGCTATTCCCAACTTTAAAAAAAACTCAGTATAACAGCAGAGGTCTTCATAGATAGATAGATAGATAGATAGATAGATGGATGGATGGATGGATGGATGGATGGATGGATGGATGGATGGATAGATAGATGATAGATAGATAGATAGATAGATAGATAGATAGATAGATAGATAGATAGATAGATAGATAGATAGATAACCTTTATTGTCATTTTTTTACTAGGCACAATGGCACACATAAAAAAATGAAATTTAGTTGCCCAGTCTGAAAGTGAAACATACACATGACAAACACCTAAAACAGGGGTAGTCAACCTTGGCTCTTTTATGACTCGTGGACTTCAACTCCCAGAATTCCTGAGCCAGCATGGCTGGCTCAGGAATTCTGGGAGTTGAAGTCCACGAGTCATAAAAGAGCCAAGGTTGACTACCCCTGACCTAAAACATACTATACACAACATATTTATAGACCCACACCCCTACAAATACGTAACAAATATTAAATACTGTCCATCTTAAATATATAACAGAAGGAGGAAGCTTGAGAGTTTACAAGGTTCTTAGCATTTCATCTTAGAATTTATCTGCATTTCAAACTTAAGACCGGCAACCAGGGTACTATAAACAGTCACCAAAGTGTTTGCCATCCCTGATTTGAATGTTAACAAATAAATAATGAAAGCAAAGATTTAATAAAAACTCGGTGAACTGCAAAGCAGAGTGCCAATCTCTTGTTGCCTTTATTTATATGAATGCTTTCATAGCCTACAATAGCATTTTTAGCAAATACAATATGGGTGATTACGGTACATCTCAGTGCTTTATTTAAAAGTAAGATGAATAGAATAGAATAGAATAGAATAGCATAAGAATAGAATAGAATAGAATAGTCCAGCCCCCTGATCAAGCAGGAGACCCTATACCAGGGGTAGGCAACCTCGGCTCTTTTATGACTCATGGACTTCAACTCCCAGAATTCCCGAGTCAGCATAGCTGACTGGGGAATTCTGGGAGTTGAAGTCCATGAGTCATAAAAGAGCCGAGGTTGCCTACCCCTGCCCTATACCATTTCAGAGAAGTGACTGTCTAGACCAGGGGTCTTCAAACTTGGACCTTTCAGGACTTGTGGACTTCAACTCCCACAAATCCTCAGCCAGGCATGCTAGCTGAGGAATTCTGGGAGTTGAAGTCCACAAGTCCTAAAAGGGCCAAGTTTGAAGACCCCCCTGGTGTAGAATCACCCTGTCTAGGATGAGAAGCGGAAACAAGAAGGTCCAGTTGCCTCCTGAAAAAGCACCTTCGGGACAGCCAGCAGAGAGGCCCTCCCTGGCGGGGAGGGAGCATATTCCCCCCCCCCCACACACACACACACTCCCCGCACTTGAGGAAGGATCCGGGATTGGGGGGAATCCATCCCGCCTTTTACTCGGCGCCGCGAAGAAAGTGCCATTGTAGCGCCGCCGCCCGGGAGGGGGCGACCTTGAGACCGGCTTCTGGGGCCGCAGTCGCCAAGCGGGAGGGATCGCGAGTCGGGGGGGGGGGGAATCGGCTGCGCGCGCAGCTCCGCACCTACCCGGGCCCAGGTAAAGGGGGAGCGGGCGCTGTCCTTACGAGCTAACTTTGGGGGGGGGGCGCAGCTGGAGCAGGGCGGCCTCTGGCTTGCAATCCGACGCGGGGAAGGCGGTGGCTTGTTGCAAAGAAACTCGCGTTGCATCTCTGGCCTTCGGCTCCTTCCTCCGGCCCTAATGCACGCAGCCTAGGCTGCCTAGGCTGCGTGCATTGCAGTGCGTGCTTTACATTGCGTTGTGTTGCGCGCTTTGCTCGCACTTCCAACAAGCGGGGCAGGCTGGATCCTTGGTGTGCCCGGAGTTTGGGGGGGGGGTTGGGGGGGGCTGGCTTCTGGAGGAGGAAGGAGATCGCCGCGATCCATCCATCCATCCTGCTCCTTCAAGGCACCGTCCCTTCCCGCGGGGTGTGTGTGTGTGGGATGGAGTGGTATATGTGTGTGTGTGTCCTCGCTGCCCGATCCTTCTTGCCGGTGATAAATCTTGGTGGCAGCTCTTCAGCAAGATCGTCGTCATCATCATCATCATCATCATACCTGATTCCACTAGCCCAGGGGTAGGCAACCTTGGCTCTTTTATGACTCGTGGACTTCAACTCCCAGAATTCCTGAGCCAGCTTAGCTGGCTCAGGAATTCTGGGAGTTGAAGTCCATGAGTCATAAAAGAGCCAAGGTTGCCTACCCCTGCACTAGCCCAGGGGTAGGCAACCTCGGCTCTTTTATGACTCATGGACTTCAACTCCCAGAATTCCTGACTCAGGAATTCTGGGAGTTGAAGTCCCTGAGTCATAAAAGAGCCGAGGTTGTCTACCCCAGCACTAGCCATTAAAATAATTGTTTTTAGAGCGTCAAACTGAACAGCTGAGTGAACTGGCGGGGCTCTGATTTAAGAGGGTTGTGTCTTTCGTTGTTGTTAGTTGCGAAGACGTGTCCGACCCATCGCGACCCCATGGACAACGTTCCTCCAGGCCTTCCTGTCCTCTACCATCTTCTGGAGTCCATTTAAGCTCATGCCTACTGCCTCACAGTGACTCCATCCAGCCACCTCATTCTCTGTCGTCCCCTTCTCCTATTGCCCTCCATCTTTCCCAGCATTAGGCTCTTCTCCAGGGAGTCCTTCCTTCTCATTAGGTGGCCAAAGTACTTGAGTTTCAACTTCAGGATCTAGCCTTCTCAAGAGCAGTCAGGGTGGATCTCCTCTAGGACTGACCGGTTTGATCGCCTTGCAGTTGTATCTTTACAGAAGTGTTTCTCGACCTGGGCCACTTTAAGATGGGTGGACTTCAACTCCCAGAATGCCGCAGCCAGCCATCTTAAAGTGGGCCAGGCTGAGAAAAACCCGGCTATAAAAAGTGTATGATGTTCTCACCCCCAGGATAAACATACCTGAACAAGGAAGGTAAGGTCAGGTTAGAACTCGGATGGGAGATCTCCGGGCCAGATTGGGAAGTCAGAAACACCAAAAAAAGTAGACCGCGTCAAATGATTTCCACGAATCCATGGATCTGGATTTATTTTTCCAAATTTAAAAAAAGAAAACAAATTTGATTGTGAGTGCTGTTAAGTACAGAACTGGGATGACCTGCTTCTCAGAGTCATGGGGGGGGGCTTCTTCCCTGGAGGTTTTTAAGCAAATATTGGGGAACAATTTGTCTGGGATGGTGAGGAATCCTGCTCTAGGCAGGGAATTAGACTAGATGACCTCTAAGTTCCCTTCCAGCCCTAGCATTCTGTGATTGTTCACTTATTATGGACTTGCACATAAAACTATTCAAGAAGGAGATGTGCTCCTTAAAAAGTCAGAGTTTAGTAATCCCAGTTGGGGGCAGCTCAACCCTTACAACGTTTTGACTCTTGTCATCCAGAAATGTCAGATTCTCGTGACATTGCAAGAACTCTGAACGCTTTTGAGTTTGGAGAAACTCATGAACGTTCAACTGGTGCTGTGTATTTAAGCCTCCTGTTATGATTGGATGCCATTTGGGACGTCAAGGGTATGTGGGCACCCACTATGTTTTCCTGGTTCTTTTTATAAGAAGTAAGAAATGTTCTTTCGCTCAGTGACTTTAATAAATACAATATTTCCACACTATTGTGTGGAGTCCTTGGTGCTCTCCGAGCTTGGGTTGTTTGCTTGCAGACATTTCATTACCTGACTAGGTAACTTCATCAGAGAGAGACAGTGTGGGGTTTCCTCTCTTGGTGTATACTGTAAATTGCCCTGCCATTGTCGGTGGGGGTGCGATTTTTCTCCTTGGGATTCCTTGATAGGATATTGTTTTCTGCTTGATTGTTTGTCTGGTGTTAATACCCGCTTTACACCAGACAACGGTCAAGCAGAAAATAATATCCTATCAAGGAATCTCAAGGAGAAAAATCACACCCCCAGCAAAACTGCCAGTAGCATGGCAGGCTACTGCATATAATAATAATAATAATAATAATAATAATAATAATAATAATAATAATAATAATAATAATAATAATAATAATAACAACAACAACAACAACAACAACAACAATAATAACAACAACAACAAAAACAGTTGGAAGGGACCTTGGAGGTCATCTAGTCCAACCCCCTGCTCAGGCAGGAGACCCTATACCATTTCGGACAAATGGCTGTCCAGTCTCTTCTTAAAAACTTCCAGTGTTGGAGCATTCACCACTTCTGGAGGCAGGTTGTTCCACTGGTTAATTGTTCTCACTGTCAGGAAGTTTCTCCTCAGTTCCAGGTTGCTTCTCTCCTTGATTAGTTTCCATCCTTTTCTCGTCCTTTTCTTCATTAAACTAGACATACCCAATTCCATCAACTGTTCCTTATATGTTTTTAGCCTCCAGTCCCCTAATCATCTTTGTTGCTTTTCTCTGTACTCTTTCTAGAGTCTCAACATTATTTTACATCATGGTGACCAAAACTGGATGCAGTATTCCAAGTGTGCCCTTACCAAGGCATTGTAAAGTGGTATTAACACTTCACGTGATCTTGATTCTATCCCTCTGTTAATGCAGCCTAACACTGTGTTGGCTTTTTTGGCAGCTGCAGCACACGGCTGGCTCATATTTAAGTGATTGTCCACTAGGACTCCGAGGTCCCTCTCACAGTTACTACTATTGAACAAGGTACCCCCTATACTATATATGTACATTTGGTTTTTCTTGCCCAAGTGTAGAGTAGGGAGCAAACCCTATCCCCCCACACACTGATCATGTTACCTAGTTGAGTGAAGAAACATCTGCAAGTAAACAATTAGAGAGCACCAGGGGCTCCCCAGCTCAACCGTGAGGGATGGATATTCGCTTCTATTGTTATCTAATGATCTCGTAATTAAGGGATGAATCTCTGGGTGGGAAGAACTTTTTTTTTCAAAGAGTCTACCCATTTTAGTCAGGAAAAAGATTGAGAAAGGTTCTCAAATAATAATCACGGTCTTTTTTTCCCAACTCTGCTCCAACACTGGAAGTTTTTAAGAAGAGACTGGACAGCCGTTTGTCTGAAATGGTGTAGGGTTCCTGCCTGGGCAGGGGGTTGGACTCGATGACCTCCAAGGTCCCTTCCAACTTTATTATTATTATTATTATTATTATTATTATTATTATTATTATTATTATTATTATTATTATTATTATTATTATTATTATTATT